CCCCAAAACCCCAAAACCCCAAAACCCCAAAACCCCTTGGCAAGAATCAAAAATAGAAATCTTTTAGAGTCTTAAATATGGTCATAAAAGGATTGGAGTTCTTGGGTAGTATACCTGTATAACATTCTGATCTGATCTTTTGGGCACCCACAATGAAGTTCGTGAGAGATACAGTAATTTTTACCACAATTCTTACATTGGATAAGGGATGCATAACAGAGATTTACTCAATAGAAGCACTCAAAGGTATCTTCACCCACTTCCCTCCTGTTTGGCATGAGCCAAACATTCTCCTTATGGAACCTCTCCTTGTCTTGGTAGTGTGAGGCAACAAGTGATCTTTCAGTTTGCTCTTTCAGGAGCCATTCGTAATAAGTATGTTTTAGCTTAGCACGCTGCTCTGGATCAAACTTATAGTGGTTTATGTTTTTTGCGCATTCAATCAACATCCAGTCAACTGGGAAGACTGGGACTTTCTCTCTCGTAGCCATGTAGATGCCCAGTGCTTTATTTATATATTCGAGCCAGCTAGGACAAGCAATATTGACAGCTTCAGCAATATTGAACCCGACAGAGACGCCTTGGTGGTAAGATCCAGGAAAAGTCAAGATAATTTCTCCCGGTTTTTGGAGAGTTCGGTACACATGGACTCCATTTTCAACCAGGTAAGCAGGATTCAGCATGACGTTGATGTCCATGAGAATGTTAGGATCTTCACTGAACCTCGAGGCTAGTTTATCTTTCACAAGTCTCTCGAATTTCTCTCTGTGATAGTCTGGGATAGAGTACCATATCTTTCCTTCACCTTCGTGCATGTAGTTGAGGGAGTACATCATCAGATCTTCGTAGTGCCAACAGAAGGAGGCGTACATCATGCCTACATATAGCCAGGACTTCGTGATCCCTGAGATATACTTATCTTGGCAGAACTGAAGCAGGGAGTTGTTCTGCAAGTGAAGTTTGTTCATATTCCAGGGATGTTCACTATACAGAATATCTTCAGTAGCTTCTTTGCGCGTGAATTCATCGCTCTTGAGATCTGAAGCATATTCGATGTTGATCGTCTCACTGTCAGGGTTCTCCATGAAGTTCCAGAAGTTGCGTTCGACTTGATCGTAGTCTTTTGAATCAATGAGGTGCTTGAATTTGTCTGATCCTGGGTCTAGAGTTTTGAGACTGCACACTGTACCTTTCTCAATAAATTCTTGGAAGGTTAGACCTTCGTCGTTGGGGTCAAAGGGCTATTAAAAATTGTTAGGACTTAACACATTTGAAAGATTAAGGTATTAGTACACCTACCTTAGCCTGAGACAACTCCTGAACAGTCTGGAGCTTTGTAGGCATCCTCTTTGAAGAGCTCTTGTCCATCGGGTTTGGAGGCGAAAAGGTAGTAGGAGGGATGATTTTTACGCACCCGTACTCATGAGCTCCTTCAGCATATAATTTTTCGATATACTGTATCGGATCACTGAATTCTTCCTCAGAAGGCCTATTTTAAGTAAATTTAGTAAATGTTCACTATTATTAGGTTAATAGTACGAATCAGAGCTTAAAAGAGGTAGGTTTGCAAAGAAATTTTCAAAATTCCCAAACAATGAGAACTATTAAAAATTAGGAAATTTTTCAAACCGAGCAATAAATTACATGTAAACCTTCATTTCTTCAATCTCATGCAAAGGGATAAAGGAGGATATTTGCTTCTGCCTGAGAGAGTTCCTGAGAGCTATTTGGAGCATCTTCTCTTCTTCACCAAGCATGCCAACACACTCTCCTGCAATTTGGGGTTTGCTCCTTTTTCTTCGGGTTTGCCTTTTAGTTCCTATATTAAGGAGTAAAGATCTGTCAGGCATCTCTAAGCAGGCTATTGGTCGACAACAGCATATCTTACTGAAAGGAGAGAAGTCTTCGCTTCCCCGTAACATGAATAAACTAGTAGGTTTAGAATGTCAGCAAATGCATGACTCAAAGAGTCTTAAAGTATTACCTGGGGAATCTTTTACGATTGCCTTGTACTCAGCTTCATCTTTACTCCTCTTGATCGTCTTTACCTGCCTCTTCTATATGAAGGTCATAAGGTAAGTTCTCAAGCGATCATATTATAAGAATAGGATTCATGAGTACAACAAAGAGGCGAAATTTTAGAAATTGTCTGATAGCCAAACCGCTAACAAGAATTCAATAGAACAAGCTTTCTAACCATTCCTTACCTTCAGCTTCTTCTTCTGAGGGCTCTTGCTCAATTGGGTCTCCAACTTTTCTTCCTTCAGGTCAACAGAGGCGAAGCTGGAATCATAAAAATTATTGAACGATGCTGCTACGCCTCCTGAACTGCCTGAAGAAGATGGTGGCTTGAACATAAACTCAGTGCAGGTCCTCTTTCTATCAAGTCCAACATTGTCCAAATTCTTTCTCTTTCTCTTAAAAATCATTGTATCAAGTGCTCTTTAGACTAATTATTAAATTATTATGGTGTTCAGAAGTTTCAAAGCCAAACGTAAGGAATGGGGTTTTGGGGTTTTGGGGTTTTGGGGTTTTGGGGGTTTTGGGGTTTTGGGG